GGGAGGGAGAAGAGAGGAGGAGGAAGGGAGGGAGGGAGGATCAAAAGAAGGATGGAGGGGAAAAACTATTCTAGAAATTATTGGCCAATCTACTTATTCTCACATTAACGTATTCTTCCCTAGAAAATAATTTCTGTTGGTTTGTAATGAATATTATCAACATTTCTGACTTTATATCTCTTTTTTAGTAATAACATTTTTGGAACATTATGTGGTCGACCAAAACCCCAGACCTTTTTTGAGTGAATGATCAAATTCCTAGGACATTGTACTTCTGCTGCTCATTTGAATAGGAAAGGACGGGGCTGGGGAGATGGCTCAGTAGAATAAGCACTTGCCTGGCAAGCACAAGGGCCTGAGTTCAACCCTTGGTTCTGAAAAAAAAAAAAAAATAGGAAAGGACAAACATCCATACAGTATTTCAGATGGTAAATGTCCCCTAAAGCCATGTGTTAAAAGCTTTAGTCCCAGCTCTGAGCCCAGGAGTTGGACATGGTAAAGAGGTAGAGCCTTGTGGGAAGTTTGGGGCATGTGTCATAGCTTTACCCTTAAGAGAGGTCATCACATACAGTTTTATTTCTGTGTATGTTTTCTGTGTCCACTAGGGCGAAAGTTTTATAAGAAAGAAGACTCTTGAATCACTGAACTCTCATTGTGGTACTCTGGGATGACTTATTTTGTTGAATGAATACATAAGGAATCCAATAGACATGGTCTTTTCAGTATTCTACTTGTACCCACACCTTCACCTCTACATAGACAGAATGTCCTTATTGCTTTATTTAAATGCTTCCAATTTTTTTCCCATAATTTTATTAAGAAACAAATAGCAATGAGACAGTTTCAAACCAAATTGGTAGGACCGTTTCAATACACATTGCATACATTCTTCCTAGTGGTTAATTGCTGTACAAGATGCGATCCTGATATCCTATTTACAAACACTATTAGAACAAATCCCTCTATTCATTAAGAGAATGTAACTATATATCTATTCTAACCATTTTGAATACACAGATACAAAATGGACATTCATCTGTATCCCCCTTTTTTTGTTTAGTTCTGTTATTTGAATATTATAGGTGTGTTAACTCAGCAAAATATTCTGAGTCCTCCCAATTCAAGACCTAGATTAAACCACACCTCTGTGAATTCTTTATCTTCATTCCCTTTACTGTCTT